TCTGTATTTGAATTTGATTTGAGATCAAATATTTGATCAAATCAAATCAAATCAAATCGAATTGCGGAACCCTAGTTTTATTATGTTACTTTTTTGACATAACTTTATTTATTTTTTTAGATACAAATAATAAATATGTTAAATTTATTTGTATCATTTTATTAATTTATTTTCATTATAAAATTTATTATTTTTACGTAAAATTTGAAAGATCTTTATTATTTTTTATTTCAAATTTTTATTTAATTAAATTTGGTAAAGATTTATGTAATTTGAATACATAAAATATTAAACATGTTAAAATAATTTATTAAATAAATAAAGAAAAATATATATAAAAAATTTATAATAACAAATTAAAATACTCTAAATGTTATAAATGAATATAAGTAAACAAAAAATAAATACACTTTTGAATCTAATATGTTTTCTTTACTTTTTGTTCAATAGTTGTTTTAATTTGTTGTTTAATAATATCAATTAATGGCATAAAATCTGGCATAAAATTTAACAAATAATTTAAAGATTTATTAAAATAATCTTGAAATATATTATGAACTTTGTTTGCAAACATGTTTGCACTAAAAATTTTATAATATTTAACCTCACGCACCAAATCTGCATTAACTAATAAAAAGCTTTTAATTTCTTCATTCTGCTCTTTTATAAATTTTTTACAATATTTAGAAGCAACAATTGTTCTATTTACCAAATCAATTAAATCATTTAAAGTTTGTTAAAAATCACCATCTTGAGACATAGACGAAGATGATTAGTTCTTAATAATAGAAAGATTATGTTTTATGAGCTCTTCAAATTCACTAATATTTTTAGATATTTTTAAATTTAGTATAAATATACTAATAATACTTAATTTATATATAAAAAAATAACTGAAATAACCTGTTTTTTAAATATTTCTTATATAACCAAAAATGGTGATTTTAATATTAATTTTGAAAAAAATAAAGAAGAAAAAATTACTATTATAAAAATTTGAATTACAGAAAATAATGAACCAATCACAATTAAAGATGCAAAAAATAAAGAATTTTCTTTTTTGATTATAAAAAATAAAGCAGATTACGATCAA